ATTGTTTATATTTCGAAGTAAAAGAATCTGATGGAAAGGTATACCTGATTATAGTTCGATTTCTCTTATTTTCAATCTTCAAAAACCAAATTGTGTACAAATCGATCAAGTAGCTTGTGGAGAACTTTGAAATTGTAGGCCCTCATTGACAAAGTTTTTTGTAAACAGATTTGTTGAACCATCTCTAAAACTTAATAGAAAATAGTAAACAAATATTACCGGTTTGTCTGTTCGGCAATAAACTGTTTCGATATTTATATATTTTTTTCTAAATAAAGAGTGTTTTTTAGACATGTGGTTTTCAAGAAGAAATAAAACGCATATAATATGACATTATGGCAAGGAATTTAGCTTTATTATAAATAACCCTTATTGCCATTATGTTTTAAAAATTATTATATTTCGGGCAAGTGACCACCGCGGTTGACTCAAAAAGGGTAAATTCCAGCCGAGAGGCCCAATTTTCAACCACTTTTTACAGCAATTGAGGCCGTATATCACATTGTCTTCCAAGGCGTCAATAGTCTCGGGCTTATTTGCGTAGACAAGCGACTTCACTTAATCCAACTAAAAGTTGTCCAGCAGTGTTAAATTGCCCGATCTTGCAGGCCACTCCCCAGGCCCACGACGGAAGATAATGCGCTCACCAAAAGTTTAATTCAATAAAATTATTGTTATGTCGGCTATATGGCAGGTATTACCGTCTTGTTGAACCCAAAGATCCTTTACATCAACATCCTCCAATTCAGACACGAAAAAGTCATTAATCATGGCTCTATAGCGTTCCCCATTGACTGACCTCATTTTAGAAGAAATATGGACCAATGATTCCCTCTGCCCATAGAGAACACCAAACAGTGACTTTTTGAAAATCTAACGGCGGCTCAACAATAACTTGTAGATTATCATCACTCCAAATTCAACAATTTTGTTCATTAACGTACCCATTCAACCAAAAGTTCGATTCATCGACGAAAAAATTAACGTCTTCGCGTAGCGTGAACCGAACCATTATTTTCGTAATAAATTTGCACGACTTACAAACGTTGTTCTAGAGGGAGAAAGTATGTTCATTATAAAATGGCAAACCAAACTGAGGATAAATCAAGTAACAGCTGCCAAAAAGGCAAACTTCGAAAAAAGTATTGTCGCTTTGAAAACCACACGTCTAAATAAAACACCCTGTACATATTTATTTAAAAACAAGAAAATACTTTAACTTCTGCTGCACCGAAGCTGTAACATCTTTCACAGATGCATTTTCTATATAAAGTACTCTAAAAATTATTACAAAAAAAAGTAGAAGAAATTTGGTGGCTTGAAAATGATTGGTTTTCGATTACTAGAAGCCAATATCAACTGCTAACTATATATCAAAGTATTACTTGTCGGTTATTTAAAATTTCCACAAGTGACTCTCTGACGGAGTTTAACAAGTATGTTTTCGTTGAATCGACTACCCAAAACCTTTACTGCTGGTAAATCAGGCATCTGACTATAATATTAAACAGATCTGTTTACCATAAATCCATAAAATAAATGGTTAGAGTGTGCCAATTTTGAAAAACTTATTCTGAGCTAAATGAGAACACCCCATGTGACACTAAGATTCACAAAGAAATAATATACAACTGAGAATTTCTTTTAAGAAAGCGATAGGATGGGATTATTTACTTACTCCTCAGTTTAATACTTAAACGATCTTCTTAGGAACTGTTTCAGGCATTGTACCTATGTATATAACTAGTGAAAAAATTGTTTTATGAGAAGCCTTTTCATGCCAAAAAAGTATTTTTTATATAAGTTAAAATTTTGTTAATTTATATAATGCCTTTAGTCGATTTTGAACTTACGACCCACCTAATTTTAAAAATATTTTGGAAAAATAACGATAGATAAAGTAAAAAAAGCAGTTAGATAATACAAATCCGTTGTTTCTCTCATATTTTTATTTCCTATCCTTTGTAATTTGTTATCACAGAGGGTTCAAGTAGTAGTGACGAAACATTAGTGTAGTAAATAAAGTCCATATTACCGCGTGTAGTCGAGCCTTTTTTTGGCAACACATCAAATGAATATGTCAAATCCTACAGCGATGCACATTTTTCACGCACTCAAATAAATAAATGTAAAGAACTAAATTGAAAAATATGTGTGAGAGCAAAAAAAAAACTTGAAATAGTGGATTTGTTAGTGGTAACAAAAAAATAATCATGGAAGTAGTGTATGCAAGGTAGAATGAGTACATCAAAAGCAAGAAACCGCTGCATGAAAGTAATGAATTGATGACTCACAAAATGTAACAAAAAAGCAAAAGGCTTTCGTCGGTTTTGAACTTGCGACCCACCTAATTTTAAAAATATAATATTTTGAAACAAGTAAGGAAGGGCTAAGTTCGGATGTAACCGAACATTTTATACTCTCGCAAAGTCAAATGGTATACTCGTTTGAGATTTCTTTGTGGATTGACTGATATTTTCGGTAGAAAGTCAACTATAGGCACTGGGGTCCACATATTTAGTACTTAGGGGTTTGAACAGTTTTGGTTCGATTTAGACAATAGGCATACTTTAAACGTATTATTCACGCAAATTTTTACCCCGATATAATCATTATTGCTTGATATGCATAGTGGAAAGTTAAAGAATCAGATGGAATTGAAAATGGTGTTATATGAGAAATAGGCATGGTTGTATTCCGATTTCGCCCATTTTCGCACTATGACATAGAAATATAAAAAGAACGTTATACACCGAATTTGGTTGAAATCGGTTAAGCAGATCCCAAGATATGGGTTTTCACCTAAAAGTGGGCGGTGCCAAGCCCACTGTTTACTTTTGAACGCGGTTATTATAAAGTTATCTCATACCATCCCAGAGATAAAATTTAATGTCTCTGGCGTGTTTCGTGCTTGATTTATCGCGCTTTTAGTAGTTTTTAACAGTACCGTTATATGGGGAGTGGGCGGAGTTGCCACCCGATTTCAACTATTTTCACACTGTAGGTAGAGGTTCTAAAAACATTTGCTTCCAGTGAATTTTGTTATTATAGCTTTAGCGGTTTGGGAGATATGCACATTAAACCTATTAGGGGCGGGACCACGCCCACTAAAAAAAATTTAACTGCCGATGCCCTCCCTAATGTGATCCTGTGTACCAAATAACTGTCTTGTATCTTATTGCGGAGCTTAGCTATGGCAATTTGTTTGTTTTTGATTAATGGCGTTTTGTGGGCGTGGCAGTAGTCCGATTACGCCCATCTGCAATACCAACCGTCTCCCGGTACCAAGAAACATGTCTACCAAGTTTCATAAAGATATCTCAATTTTTACTCAAGTTAGAGCTTGCACGGACGGACGGACGGACAGACAGTCACCCGGATTTCAACTCGTCTCTTCATCCTGATCATTTATATATATTATATATAACCCTATATCTAACTCGATTAGTTTTAGGTGATACAAACAACCGTTAGGTGAACAAAACTATTATACTCTGTAGCAACAGGTTGCGAGAGTATAAAAATAGACCAGTTAGATAATATAAATCCGTTGTAACAATATCTCTCATACTTTTATTTCTTATCTTTTGTAATTTGTTGTCACAGAGGGTTCGAGTAGTAGTGACGAAACATTAGTGCAATAAATAAAGTCCATATTACCGCGTGTAGTGGAGCCCTCTTTTGGCAACGAATCAAATAAATGCGTCAAATCCTACAGCGATGCAATTTTTCACGCACTCCAATAAATAAATGTAAAAAACTAAATTGAAAAATATGTGTGAAAGCAAAGAAAAACTTGAAAAATTGGATTTGTTAGTGGTAACAAAAAAATGTATGCAAGGTAGAATGAGTTCATCACAAGCAAGAAGCCGCTGCATGCAAGTAATGAATTGATGACTTACAAAATGTAACAAAAAAGCAAAAATAATAAAACGTATAAATAAAAATTAAAAGTAATATTTATATTTACACATATAAAATTAACAAAAATAGTAAAGCAGCGATAATTCAAAACTCAGTTTCAAGTACAAATTGTAAACCAGCTTCTATTAAAAACATTTTAAAACTATTTTAATAATTTTATTTGTAATGATATTGGAACTTATTACTGAAAATAGGGATTTGTTTTTGGCTTATACAAGGTGCGTTCCAAAGTAAACAGTAAAAAAGTAACAAAATAAACGCTAGTGACGCCATCTATAAGTCGACTAGTGCGTTAGAATCTGCTATCCTTTATCGACTTCCAGTAATTTCATGACATTTCATCTATTGGAAGTGAAGTTATTGAGTTTTAAGTGTCAGTATGTTTTTGTCATCGGTGCGAAAATGAGCTTCGAACAAAGAGCCAACATTAAATTTTGTTTTTTAAATTGGTAGAACTTTTACCGAAACGTTTCAATTGATGAAACAAGTTTATGGCGATGATTGCCTATCCCGTAGCAGAGTTCACGAGTGGTTTCAACGTTATCAAAATGGTCGTGGGGACATAAATGAGAAATGAGCCGAAACCCAAAAAATCGCGCCTGGAGAGTTCACCTGATATGGCACCGTGCGACATTTACCTTTCGGAAAAATGCATTTTCCGATGAAAGAAAAGCGTTATGCAGAAGTGGAGGCCGTTCAAAAGGCTTGCACCGGCATACTGGCGGCCATACCGGGCAACGAGCTAAAACACTCGTTCGACATGCTTTTGGACCGTGTAAAAAGCTGTATTAAAGCAGAAGGAGACTATTTTGAATAAAATTAATTGATTGTTCGATAAAACCATTTGTTCTCTCTTTTTTTTAAACTCCTGTTTACTTTGGAACGCACCTTGTATGAAATTATTTACGAGTTTTTGAATATTATTAAATGATGTTTGTCCAATACATTGATTATATTAAATATAAAAAAGATGTTATTATGAGTATAATATGCAAATCGTTATGTTTTTAAGGTTTATTAAATGCTTTAAAACGTCAAATTTCTAAGATCTGTAATTATTTTGTTAAAAAACCTACCTGTATCTGCCTTTCCAACTCACGCACAATATCATCGCGAGCCAACGTCAATTGCTCTTGCAAGCGTTTTTCATACTCTTCAATTATTTTTTGTATGACTTGTGATTCGTTGTGTAGATTCAGCTCATCCTGGTCGATGATAATCAAAGATGTATTGGAATCGCGTACTTGTAATGATACTGATTCCTGATTGGCAATATTGTTGGTGTTTTGTGGTTTAATTTCATCGTCGTTTGTGGACTTCAAATTATTTTTTGTCATATTTGTTATTGTTTTGTTAAACATATTTCTGGTGCAAACATTAGCGGGCGAAGCAGTTGTTGTTTTATTGACCGACTGCATGTATGCATATTGTTTCAATTTTATATATAGATGTATATGTACATGTATGTATGCATGGATGGTTCAGATGATGGGGTTAAGGCACAAAAAGAGGATGCAAAAAAGACATGCGGTTAGCGTTTACACGTGACAATATATAAAATCAGTAAGTACTGTATTCAAAATACTTATGTGCAAGCCACAATACAATAATAATATATTGATATACATATATGTTATTGAATAACTTATAAACTAGCCGGCATTGAAGCTTTAGGTGTCATTATTTTTTGTATCCTGATTCCACAATTAAGAGAGTTGTTCCGGAGTTTTTTTTTTTATGATATGGGCTGAAAAGTCTCCACAAACAAAAAATATTTTTTAATGTCTTAGAGCACTAATCTTTACTAGAATGCTTTCATGACCTTTCCTCCGAACTTCTCAAGTTATTGTTTCAAAGTGACGCTACCTGTACTATATTTGTTTACAATAGACAAGAGTGAAATGCGAGTTTGTTTCCTGGTAAGGAAAATTTCGTTGACGCAAAGCAATGGCTTGATAAGTGTTACGACAAATTTTCCCCAGCGTATTCAACCGTCAGAATTTTCAACGAAATTTTCCTTACCAGGAAACAAACTCGTAGTATTTTGCTGAATTTCGTAGTAACGATACCAGCCCCCCCCCCCCCCCCAGCAAACATCGCTAAAATTCCTGAAGTTGCTTTTAGTAAGTTTAAAAATAAATTAAATAAGTTACTCAATCTCATTGGGACCCCAAAAGAATACAAATGAAAAAGCTGTGCGCGCGATGAATATCGATCCTAGAGAAAAACATAAAAACAAATCCCCCACCCACTGTATTAATCAGATTTGGCCCCCAGCAACTATTACCTTTTTCCGACCCTCAAAAGTGGCTCACTGGGAAAATATTTCACTCAAATACGAAGGCAAGATGGAAACAAACTATTTTTACTCAATTGAAATGGTATCGAGATGTTGATGGACTGTTACAACAAATGTACAATGTACAAATGTGTATGTAAAAAGTAAAACTATATTTTCTTTCTAAAATTTTTCTTTCATTCACAAGCCAAAGACTTTTCAGGCCATGTGGAGTATGCGTATGGAACACTACTGTCACCCCAACATTTTATGCTGATACAAAAAAACATTTATGATGAAATAAGAAACTAATCAAAAGTACAGTAGTGTTTTTAAAAAACTGTATATATACATTACTTACCAAAAATTCATCATCTGGATATCGGCTTTCATAATACTTTAGTTTCTCGGTAAGGATGCGTAGTTGTTCTTCATTAATTCGCTGTATTTCTTGTAACTTTTGGTGATAGAATGCTTTCAACTCCGTAATTTCTTTTGTGCTCTTTAATAAATATACGGAGAATCACAATTTATTCGAATTTAATATGTTTTCAGAAACTTACGTTGACATCTTCGTTGAATGCGTCAGAAATGGGAGTAATTTGACGATGACTTGGGCTAAGTAAAAGCACTGCACGTGCGCGTTTACGGGGAGAAATCTCTTTGGAACGTATTTGGCTGGTTCCTGTGGCTCGGTCCTCGGGCAATTGATCCTGGTCTGAGCCTTCGGATGAAGATGTGTCACCTGGGTGGTGTTGCGATTTTTGCGAAAAGACATCGTCAGAAAACCTGCAGGAAAGACATTGCGTTATTTATGCCAAAAAATCCTAAATATATAATTTATAATCTAATTTATTACTGTAAGGGTACAAACTTACTGCTTCTCGAGTTCGGCACATTTAGTTTCAAAATATTTGCGTAATTCTTCTACTTCTTTTGCATGTTTCTTGTCTTGTTCCTCGCGTAAACTTATTATTATTTTCATTTCAACCTCTTGGCTTTGTTTCTCCGCCTTAAATTTCTCAATAATATCTTTTTGATCATGCTCACATTTTATTTTACACTTTTCCAACTCTTGGCTCAAATAATCATCGAACTTTTTCTGCACCATGAAGAAGAGGCGCGCCTCATTCGGGTTGAGATATTTCTGAAAATGTTCGATTTGCTTGCTGAAAGGTGGTTGGGACCACTCGGATGCCATCATATCCCCCCCACCACTGCCGTACATTTCCGTTGTTTGACGTGGCACCGAGAACTGGCGCTCGCGTGAATTACGTGAATATTTATCCTCATTGTCTGTGAAAAAATGCCGTTCTAAATCATCATCACTCTCGCTTATTAAATCCATTGATATCTCTGATATGCGTTGACCACAATTGCTGTCTAAATCCGTTCGTGGCCAGTTCGGCCTGCGCAAAGTATCCAGTGCATCGGATAGCTGCTTTCGGAGCAATTGAACTTCATTGGCAAGTTTGTCGCTTTCCATTTGGAGATTTTCACGAACATTTATTGATTGTTGTAACGAATCCGTTAATTTGGCGATCAATTCGTCACGCTTCGATACTTCCATGTAAATATCCATTGTCTGCAAGAGATTGTTTAGTAATTAAGAAAAATTGTTAAGGTCAAACGACAGTAGTGTTTACTTACCGGCCCACCGAACTCTTCTTGAAATGTGCGATACTCAGTCGAGCTTGTCACCAGCGAGCTGTTCGTATCTCTTCCCGAGCCAAGTTGTTCTGCAGAAAATGCGCCACTCGATTCGCGTCGCTGTGCAGTTTCCAACTGCAAGTTAAGCGCAGACAAACAGGCGTCCTTACCGGCCACCATATCCTGCAGCTCAATCACTTTGTTTTCCAACATTTGCAGCATATTCAAACTAACTATACTAGTCGAGGTGTTCGTCAAGTCTGTCGTTTGAGCTTCCCCTTCAGCATGAAGAGTTTTGCTTTGATCCTTACCCTCCGTTGAGCTGGCAGAATGTTCCATCGACAGTGAACGATGCTCTTCTGCGGTAGAAAGTGAGTTTCGGTCGCTCTCTTCGGTGATGTCTTCCAGCACATCTTTTGTGTACTCACTTAAGGGTACACGCTCCATTGGTTTGACGATCTGCACATCTCCACTGGCGTTGGCATTCATAATTTCGACTTCACTGTGTGAAATATTGATCTGTTGTTCTTTGCTCTGATGTTTCATGGCGAGAATCCGTAATTTCATTAGTTCAAGAGATGTGTCATCATCATCGTCTTCATTAGCACCAAAGTCAAGCTCCGGTGAAACACTGGTCACCTGATTTTTGGCACCAAGCATCTCGTTTAGAATGTCACGCAAAGCATTTGTTACCGAATTTATATCATAAGTTGATGACTCATCGTCTTCTACTTGCTCTACAACGGTCTCTAAGGTCTGCACTTCAATGTTGGCCATTTCCTGCAGCTGCAATGTTTCGGACATGACCGCTAACTTCCTTTCTACAAATTTAGTCTCAAGTAATGGCACATTTTGTAAGTTTTCAGTGCGATGGGTAGTTTCGCGTAAAATATTATGTGTGAATTCAGTCTCCGTTGAGTTGGCATTTTGGGCCGTTCCACCTAAAAAATTTGTTTTCTCCTTTGTTCCTTTTGGCGTTTCTACATTTGTAGTTGGATCAGTTTTACCAGCGTCAAAATCAGTAACTATACGTTTAGAGTATACATATTTGCTTTCCAATTCGATAGGAAGTATTTCATTTTCGGGTTGAGTCAAATTGGCACAAATATTATTCACTTCTTTCACCTCCTCCAATTGTTCTTGAACTGTGTCTGCCAGCAGGCGATTCACAAGCGATTCGTTGTGTATAATAAAACTTGGATTGAGCGAGCTTAAGTCCCGGTCATCTAACGTATATTCCAAACTATGATTTCTTTCTACAATTTCTTCAATTGAGTTGTCTTGTTCACTATGTGGGGGGGAATTGCTTTTAACTCGTGTCTCCAACCCTGGAGCTTGAATATCAGCTTGAAGTTGCTGTGAAGTTAAAACCACTTTTATATTTTTTGATGTCAATGATTTACTTAATGCCGCGTTTACCTCATTTTCTTCGTTATCACAAGATGTTTGAGTCTCGTCAGGCTTTGCCATTATTAATTCTTCATTCCTCAACGAGTCTTCACCTTGCCGCGGTTCTTCTAGAAGATCTGATACATCATTCGCTGTACTCTCATTGGTTAAACTCAGCTGCCGTGGATCAACTTCTGGTTTACTTAACACCGGCTCATGGTGATGAGAATGCACCATTTTCTTTTCCAGTGGTAGGCTTACATTCAAATCATCAAAATCAATTTCCGCCGAATCACTTGCAACAGTTTTACTGTGCGGCATACTGGCTTCACTGGACGCTTCATGTCTCGAGGGTGCTTGTATCTTGTCTGCTGGTATACTTCTATTAATATCATCATCATCTTCGTCTTCTTCATCATATTCGTTAAGCACAAAGTGCTGTGCTATATTTTCACCAGACAATTCAGCGTCGTCAATCTTGAATTGTTCGTCTTTTTCTTCGCTAGCGCTTATTTTATTTACATTCCTTATTGGATGTTGGAAACTTGCCTCTTCTTCCAAATGTTGATCAGATTGCATTTTTTGTTTATTCATGGAAATTGGCTTTATATAACCTGCTGATTTGGATGAGTCCAATAAATGAGCTACAGACAACTGTGGTACATCCTCTTCACTAATTTCAATGGCCTCTTCAATTTCCTCCTCTATACTTTGTTCACCACTGCTGGACGTTGTGGCTGTGGTGATGGCACTTGCGTTACTATTCTTACGAGACGTCGTGGCTGTCGTCTCAGGCACTTCATCGGTCGTTGTCGGTGTTGTTGTTGTTGCCGTTGTGGCAGTTGTTTCACTCTTTCCTAAATTGTCCATTTCAATGGATATTGAGCTAGTTGGCTCGTAAACAAGTGAGGATTCTGTCGTAGTGTCTGTGCGAGTACAAGGGATGATCTCCTGTCGCAGTAATTCCTCAGTGTTAGTACTGCTGCTATAGATCTCTGCACTACCAACGCGGTTGATTACATATGTGTGTGCTGAGTTATTATCGCAGTTTACATCATCGTCGTTTGCCGAGTTATTTGTAGTGTTGATGTTGAATGTATCGAGTTCAAGCTGTGAGAGTATATCGGCGACATGTTGAATGTCGAGGTCTGTAGCAACAGGTTCATGTATCAGAAAAGCTAGTGTTGGTATGAATTCTACGTTTCTTGTCGTAGGCGCTTCTGTTTTGAATTGTTGTGATAATCCGACAGATATGGCACTGCAATCTGTTGGCTCTGCTATTTCCTCAGTGATAGTTTTCGATGGTTCCGATCGCTTACCGTCAATGGGTTTCAAATGACCGCGAGGACGCAGCAAAGAAGTTATCTTTAAAAAAAATTAAACAAAAGGATTGATTAGTGTCGATCATACAGACATAAAGTCTGCTATTCATATATATTTGCTATCACTTGTAGAAAACGGAAGAAAAGACATTTCAGATTCTTTTACAAATTTAATGTACTAATTTAACTAACTAGTGCAATGATATGCACTTAATGCAAGACAATAGAATATTTTCCATTTTCTATAATGATCTCGCAAGTTACACACAACTATGTAAAGAGCATGAATTTCATCGGAGTCTTCAAAATTTTATATAACAAATATTTTTCTAAATATCAGTTTTTCACCAACTCTTAAATCGATTGCATTACCTTTTGTAACTAATGGACTAAAACACTTAGTTTCATTAAGTCATCATTGTGTGGATAATATCTAATATGTTCACCTTATATTTAACCTAATCAGGAAAAAGGAAACTCGTTATTTTGGCGCGAGAAAGTGTGAATCTATTCCATCCATATTTGATTTTCTTTTAATTCTCAGATATTCACCAATATGAATACGTCATAAAATCAGCGGGTCGATTAGAAAGTATTTTATTCGGTATATAAGGGCCAGAGGAATATGCCAACCGATTGCTTACGCTTTTTGATATCAAGAAACATTATCAAACTATCGTAGTAGATTCCGTCATGGGAGAGACGGGCAGACAGACGAACATGTCTAAATCGGCTCAGCTCATCAGGCTGATCATTTCCGAAGTTTCCTCCTAGGTGTTACAAACTTCGTGGCAAATCTAATAAGACCCTGTTCAGGGTATAATCATCCACACATACAAAAAATTACCCAATTTTAAAAAAAAAAAACTTCTTTTAAGCTGATTTTGAAATTAACTTTAGCTTCTTCAGGTGGTTATATTATAGATTCCGCGTTTCCACGTTCCACGTTTATAAATATTATTAATGCAATGCACCGAACCATTACAGATAAATACATTTTTAAATATTTATGTATTTAAAGCAATTATTAGATATTACTTAAAACCCAGCCACAGTGTACTCCCGAGCTGGGTTGCGAATTTTTTAATGAAATGTTGGGACTCAAAATGAAATTTTCACTTTTAAATCCAGGATGATTGAAATTAAAAATTTAAAATATTATTTTTTGATCTGAATGAACGCGAAAAAATGTTAATTCTAAAACAAATTATTTTTTCAATTCTTAATTATATGCTTCAGATTAAAATTTTTCTTCTTTCGAATAAAAATTAAAAATAAATACTTAACACGGTTTTTTTTTTTGATCCGGTATGTAAACATTCTTTTTTTTAATAACGTATTTGGAATTACAAAATAAAAAAATTGTATTTCAAATGTTACTTCAATTATCTTTTTAATGCATTATTTGCAACCCTGCTCCCAAGTAAAACTTACTAATTGACCTCTGTCTTTTGCAGACATCATGACAAAAGTCATTCATTACTTTTATAGGAAAATTAAATTCAGCAACAATTTTTGCAATTGCACACCTCCATAGAAAGTGCAAATGATTGCTGTGTGTGAAAAAAAAATTAAAAAGGAAATTTATCGTAATACTAAAGAGCCTAAAACGCAATAAAAGCAATTGAAAGCAAACGCAGTTTTATTAAAGTGACCTGATTAACCAAGGGATTAGAATTTTTTTTTAAATATTTTACTTCCAATAAACATTATACAACCCAAATGTCCGAAAAATAGATGAATCACAGCTGTGCAACCACAAAAAGAGCAAATGGCAGAAATTGAACCACTTGAATAATCTCACTGCCAGATTTGAGCTTCAATTGTGTAGACTCCTATGTACTGGTATACACACATAAATACTTACAGCACAAATTCGATTTTTACTCTGATTAATAAACCGGCGCGTTTGAAATATGAACAATACCTGCGTACCAAAAATTCGAAGAAACTATTTTTAGCAAGATTTTTATTACTGCCAGGCTGATACTCGGATGAGGGTTACTCGTACATAAATTTGCATGCGCTTCTGTATGATTTATGGCTAGAAGAACTGGATAAATTTGGCAATCGAGTTGCATTTGTTTCTTTTCCCGAGATAAAGCGTTTTTCAGGTTCTTCTTACCATTAATTCATAATAACAAATTCAAAGAAAATATTTGAAATACCCTAACGGCACTTTACATGAAACATCTTTTTAGTTATTAGAAAATATATATATACCATATATAAAATACCATGAACAACAATTTCAGCAATTTGGTTTTAGTTTACTTCTACTTAAATCATTTAAATTCATCATTATTTATCATTTATTTAAGGATACACTTTTGTTGATGATCGACTCTCCCAGTTCCGTTTAAAGTGGTTCGACTAGGTTGGGACTTTTTGATACCGTGTTCTGATTAATTCGAAAAACACTAATCACTAACTTTGAAAGCACCTAGTTTTTTTTTCTGATTGTCTAATTTACCTAAAGTTTTAGCCTCCTGTAAATGTCTATAATACTTTTGAAACGGGTTTAATGATAATTTTAATAATTTTAAAAATAAAACTATAATATGTGCCGACAGCAGTACTATTCCGGTATTAACGATAAACATGAGTACTTCCATTGATATTTTAACAAAAATGAAATAAAAACAAGAAAAAACGTTAACTATGGCTGTACCGAAGCTATAATGGAATGGAATGGAATCATGAAACCAAAGCTGCGCGTGGTTAGATGTTAAAGTATCAGCACCATTAACACTATTCACATTTTTAGTCGCATGACGCGTGCCCATATTTGACGCGTGCTCAATCATTTTATCTTTTTAACGTCATATAGCGTAACCTGACCACACTTATACAACTATTAAAGCATCTATTAGAAAAATAATGGACTTCTTTTTATTAGACCATATATTATATAGTATGTATTTTGATCTCAGAAGGCTTATTATAAATTTAACAATTTCTTCCCACCCATTAGTATTTAAAATATCTAAATTGAAAATTTTTTATTTTCATGTTCAATTGAAAAGAAATTACCTAATTTAAATCTTAGTCCAATTATTGAAAGGGCATCCTTAATATACAGTTGGTTTTCTTTATATAACTGTTTTGTTCAGATCATATAATATGGAAACATAATATTGACAATAATTGAACACCATGCACATTTATATTAAAATTACAAATATTAAATATTCCAGGTCAAAAGAAAATAGTCTAATAAATCTAAAACGCAAAGTTATAACGGGTTTTTAGGCGTGTGATTTTCCACAACACTTTTTTCGGAGCTGACCTTTTTGGCACCTGTTACTTGATTTACACTCAGTTTAGTTTACCATTTCATAATAAACAGGCTTACTCCAAAACAACTTTTGCAAACTGTGCAAATTACCAAAATAATGGTTCGGTTAGCGCTGCGTCCAATATTCAGTCGACATAATCGCCCGACTCTACTGGGCGCTTATTCGAGCAACCGATTTCGCACCACTTTTACTGTAGTGCATAATGCACATCCTCAGTGCGCACCGAAGATGCTATTGCTGCTGTGGAGCAGAGTATCGCTCGTAACAATCGGAACTGTGCAAGTCATTGTTGAGACGCCGTAACATCCTCAAAAAGTCAGTGTTTGGGTTAAGTAAAGTTCCTTGCCTTCGAAGACAATATTCGGCGCGATATTGCTGACATACGATCCCAATCGCTACAAATAGTAGTCGACGTCCCTCGGCTGGAATTCATCCGCGACGGTAAAGCGAGCGATTCCAATTTGCATGTTGATTGAGTTCACGAATATAACATACAAGTACAATAATCCGTCCGTCCGTCTGTCTGTGCAAACTGTAACTTGAGTAAAAATTAAGATATCTTTATGAAACTTGGTACACACGGTTCTTGGTACCGTAAGACGGTTGGTATTGCAGATGGGCGTAATCGGACTACTGCCACGCCCACAAAACGCCATTAATCAAAAACAAATAAATTACCATAACTGTGCTCCACAATAAGATACAAGACTGTTATTTGATACACAGGATCACATTAGGGAGGGGCATCTGCAGTTTCAAAATTTTTTAAAAGTGAGCGTGGTCCCGCCCCTCAATAGGTTTAATGTGCATATCTCATAAACCGCTTAAGCTACAATAACAAAATTCACTAGGAACAAATGCTTTTAGAACCTCAAATCGGGTGACAACCCCGCCCACTCCCCATATAACGGTACTGTTAAAAACTACTAAAAGCGCGATAAATCAAACACTAAACACGCCAGAGGCATAAAATTTTATCTCTGGGATGGTAAGAGATGACTTTTAGGAACCGACTTAAAAATTAGACAGTGGGCGTGGCACAGCCCACTTTTAGGTGAAAACCCATATCTTGGGATCTGCTTAACCGATTTCAACCAAATTCGATACATAACATTCTTCTCATATTTCTATATTAATGGGCGAAATCGGATTACAACCACGCCTGAAACTGTTCAAGCCTCTAGGTACTGAATATGTGGACCCCAGTGCCTATAGTTGATTTTTTACCGAAAATATCGGTCAATGTGAAGGATATATATTTCATATAATAAAATAAATATATTGCGCGTGGTCAGCAGCAAGGCTGAGGAGTCAGGGCAGAGGCTCAACCCCTGCAAAGACGACGAATCGTATAAATTCGTCCAGACAGTGAGCTTCCGACTGAACTACAGGTTCAGCTCGATGGTCCTGAGACTATTTAAGCCTAAAACTACCACCGAGGGTGATGCAGCAGAAAAAATGCAGGTGGATGAGGCGTCCACCACGCGGCGTCGGCCTCGGCGGTTATCGCTAGCAGGTTTACAGCGGATGGACTGGGCATACTGTTGATCCAGGAGCCATGGATCAGCAAAGGAGAGGTCAGGGGCCTCAAAATGGAGTCGAACAAGGTAATCTGGGATCTCTCTAGTGAGAGACCTAGAACCTGTATAGTAGTAAGGAACGATATTGATTTATTTTGCATTTCAGAGTTCCTAACACAGAACCTGGTCGCTGTTCAAGCAAGGAACGACGAAGGAGCGAACTT